CCCAACTAGGCCCTTCTTCCTGTGAACGGCAAGAACGCCCTGCGCTCAGGCTGGCGCCGGCCGAGCGGAACCTGTGCTGTGAGCGTGTCAGTGGTCTGATGGGAAGTGAGCTGCGTGGCGCGTGTGGCGGCCAGGCATGACGATCTCTACCTTGGCTTTGCAGAATAGAAAAGAAGCGCACCATTGTCCCCACCTGGCCGGAGCCGTCGAGGAACAAGACAGGAAGGGGAGGTAGACTGGGAGTATTTCTACAGCCTGCTTTTACCTCTGAGAACGCTACAAATTGGTGCACTCGCCTGCCACAAGAAAACCACCCACACAGCTCACCTGTGACCGCCGACAGGATCTACAAACCCCGGACACGGGCCGAAGAGGAAGCGCGCGCCGGCTCGCAAGTCCCGGTGACGCTGTGCTCGGGTGAGGCCTGATGTGTGGGCACAACTTTAACAGGGTGCTAATTTTTTTTTTTTTTTGGTTCACTCCAATAGTTCCTGGAAAAAAACTTAAAACATAATCCCTCCTAGCACTCTGGGAGGCCGAGATGGGAAGGATTCGGCGTGAGCTCAGGAGTTCGAGACCAGCCTGAGCAAGAGCGAGACCGCGCCCTTTCAGTATATTTCTGAATCTTTTTTTGTGCCTTTTGAGAGCCCAACTCCCAGAGGGCAGCTTTAGGCTGCTCACGGGACGTCTGTGGGTCATACCGGCCTGCCGGGAGCAGGAGTTGTCTTTGAGCTCAGGGATCCTTCCGTTTTCTGACATCACCGGCATTCTGCGTGCTCACGTGGTATGGGCTCCACGCCAAACCGCATCACGGCTGGCCTTGGCCGCCCCGCCTGAGGGACGAGGGGTCTGTGTGTGGGCCTCTCCTCCCGCAGCACACGGCAGCTCCATCCTCCGGACTCCTCTACGCGCCCCCGAGAGTGGCGCAGCTTTGGCAAAACGTCTGTGCTCCGTCCGGAACTCGCAAGGACACCCCCGCCGCTGGGCCGTCTATGGCGGCAAAGTCTGAACCCTCCCAAGTCCTCAGCGGGCGACCACTGGTTGTGGCGCCACGTCGAACCACGTGAAACTGCTGTTTCTCTAGGTTAAAAGCGGTCGATGTCATTCATTTCATGCATGTCCAACCTAATCCGAGGACAGAACGCAAACCGTGCAGCAGTTGCGGCGTTCACGAGAGGCGCGGCTGTGAGTGGAGACGGGAAGTGCTAGGCGCCCAGGCGGCTTGGCTGTGTAGAGTGTGATCCGTTTGTCTTGCAAAGGGCAGGCTTTCGTGTCTTCCACGTGTGTCAGGCCAGTAATCCTGGGGACGTGGTGGGGGAGACTGGGTGACAAAGGACTCATTTTCCAAATCGTGTGTTTTATGATACTTGAATTTTTTGAAATGAGCATGTATTTTTTAAACATTAAAAAATGTGCTTTTCACAGTCATTTGTCATATTTGAACTTTTACATTGATTCTATAATCAGGAAAAGCAATAAAGATTTTTTAAAAATAGACATGTCAAAAAAGTGTGTGCTCATTGAGAGTAATGAAAACAAGGATGGAAGTAAGGGGTCGGTGATGCTCTAAAAGTTGCCCTGGGCTGTTGCATTTCTTCACTGGGATGCAGCCAGTCCCGCGGGGAACGGGGACAAGTCCCGCCGCCAGCACACGCTGTGGTCTGGTCTGGTCAGGGATGTGTCAACAGTGGGAGAGTCGGGACGCCTGGTTCCTCTTCTCGCATGCCCTCGCACAGGCCAAAGAACTCTCCGAAAGCCAGGGGATCCTGCCTGTGTGGCACCGAGGCTGGGCTGCACGGCCTCTGAGCCCTTCCGGCTTGGTCACTCCAAGTTCAGGGACTGAGCCGTCCCCTTTCCAGGCAAGCGCGGGCACCTTTCAGCGTCTCTGCGTTGTGGGCTTTCCCGATGGCAATGCCTCCTTCTCACGTGGCGGTGCCACCTTGCCCGGGACACACAGGTGTGCTGTCCCCTCTGCCAGATGGCTCCGAGGTGCCACCCCCCTGCCCACGACGGGGCCTCGACCGTGTGTCTGTCAGGACTTCTGCCGCCTCCTCCGCTGTGGAGCCCTGTCCTCTCTTCCCCTCTCCCTTCCTGACCCCAGTTCTCCTTTCTGCAGCAGGCGAGACGGCAGCAAGCCAAGCTTGTTGGAGCTGTGTGTGGAGTAAGCTGTGGGCAGGGTCGCCAGGCTCTCCTGGCTGTGGCACAGTCGTTTTGGTCGTTGCTCTTTTTTTATTGCAGTTTTTGTGGTTTTATTTAAACACAAATAAAATGTGCACATGAGCTATCCGTCCATTTCCTTCGCTGCGCAGCCTGGCGTTGGGGTTGGTGACCCTGCTGGCCAGCTGGGCTGCTCTTTCCACAACCGCTTTGCAGTTCCTGCAGGAAACAGTGGCGGCCCCAGGGCATGACGATCTCTCACCTTGGGCTTTGCAGAATAGAAAAGAAGCGCACCATTGTCCCACACTGGGCGGAGCCGTCGAGGAACAAGAACGGAAGGGGAGGTAGACTGGGGAGTTTTCTACAGCCTGCTTTTTACCTCTGAGAACCTAAATTGGTGCACCATCGCCTGCCACAAGAAAACCACCCACACAAGCTCACGCTGTGACACGCCGACAGGGATCTACAAACCACGGGACAAGGGCCGAAGAGGAAGCGGTCCGGCTCCGCAAGTCCCGGTGGACGCTGTGCCTCGGGTGAAGGCCCTGATGGTCGGCCACAACTTTAACAGGTGCTAATTTTTTTTTTTTTTTTTGGTTCACCTCCAATAGTTCCCTGGAAAAAACTAAAAACATACATCCCTCCCTAGCACTCTGGGAGGCCGAGAATGGGAAGGATCTGCTGTGAGCCCAGGATTCGAGACCAGCCTGAGCAAGAGCGAGACCCTGTCTCTACTATAAATAGAAAGAAATTAGCCAAAC